AGTTAAATCATTACTATAAAGGTTACATTTGAAACTGCAATTAATTTCTTGAAATGTGTCAAGATTCCAAAACATACAACTTCAAATATTACAGAGAGTATACCACAAGAAACATTCTTAGTTAATATTTTCGCTGTATACTTTGGAATAAAAATGTACATATAAATCAATATTTATATGTCAGATACTAAAATATCACAATGACGAAACATTCTATAGTTTGTGATTAATAATTAAACTAATAAGACTAAAATTGAAATATACAAATTGATGTTTTGCAAGAATCTTTTTCTTTATTAAAACTGAAATTGTGGTACTTGATCAACAACAAATTCGTACACTTTTTAATCAATAACCAACAAAAAATCAATTTAATACTAGCATCATTAATTGATTTCACCAACTAATAAGCAAACGAAATGAAGCAAAATGAGAAAAAACAAAAGTCAACAAGCAAAAGTCAACAAAAGAAACAAAGACATTTTAAAACCGACCGAGTTAACTCACCTTGCAAACCGAGACAATCCGACTCGGTCCGATCGGAGAATCCGACAGTATAATTCGGGTCATCAATGGATCTGAGCATATACTGTTTTTTACCGGCGGAATCATTAGGAACAATACAAGCAGATAGATCGGAGAAATCATCGGAACCGCGTCTGACTCTGACAACGATCGAAGTTTCTTTGTTCCTATAAGAATTGTGTAGAACTTTCTGTAACCAAGCTTTACCTCCTTTAAACGGAGCTTTGAAAATAGCCGAACCGGGTCCTGACCCGATTCGGATCTCTTCAACTATATCTCCGGTTTGAAGCATATCGCCGCTCCATTCGTCGCTTTTTGAGCTTCCTTTCAGACAGTCGATTGAGAGGACCACGGTGTTTCCGGGTCGGGTCGTTGAATCGGGTTGGTGGGTTCGATCCATTTGGCGATTTTACCGGATTGAGAAAGAGAGATAGAGAGATTTGTGGAGTTTGTGTTTTGTAATGTTTCTAAAATGAAAAAATGATTCGATACGCGGAATCTTTGTGAGAGAGAGTATACAAAGTCGTACTTGGCCATTAGATTTTATTCTTTTCATTTTACTAAATATATTTTTGGGATAAATAAAATCTTAAGCAATGACACTTGTCAAAGAATTGCAAACTTTATTTATTTTGTGGAAGCCTGATTGATTAAAAAATTTAATGTTGTTAGACAAATCTAGATTTTGATTTGGTCTTGTATGCTCTCGTTTCAACCCGATCACAATTTGATTATGGTTAAAGACTTAAGAGTAGTAATAGATTGAAATTATAAATATGTTTTCAATCTTTCAAGATGAATGAAGATTCATCTGTTGTTGACCCCATATAATAATATCAAAATGATCTCAAGTAATGATATTAACATATCATATAGAAAATTAGTTTTTTTTTTGTTTTTGTTTAGTAAATTCTGAAAGATCAAAGACGTCACTACTTGTTCTTTCTGTTCACACTACCAAATCATATTTGGAAAATCAATCTCTCTTGTTCTCATGGGGAAAAAGATAAAAAGAAAATATGAACATCTCACATGTTTTTGTCTCTCTCGACGTTGACTTATTATAAAATGAAGAGAAGAATTGTAAAAGGAGGCATGGAAATCATTAAGTATATTTGAAATAATATTAGAAAAAAAAAGGAAATTAGGTTTCACTTTTTCACCCTTCACATTATTCTTAAAAGACTTTTTATTGTTGTTGTTAAGGATACATAAAGACTTTTATATCCACACATGAATTTTATTTTGAGATATAAACTTTTCACATGTATTATTGCAGTTGCTCAAACCTATTTGTATTACTATTGAATCTGTTTCGATGAATGAGTTATCAAATTTTATTTTGCAATTATAGATTTATCACCAAAATGAAATTAATGCACCACTAAATGGGCCGTATTGCGGTCTATATTTGGGCTTTTTTTTAAAACGGCAACAAGTTTTGGATTAAACTCAAAACGGCGTCGTTTAGATAGTCTTCATCATCAACGATTCTCCTTTCTCCAATTCGACACTCTTTCATTTTTCCCGTTATCCAGACAAACGAAAAAAATGGCGGCTCACTCTTCTTGCAAGTTTAGTTTGGCGAATCCGATGATCTCACAAATCGATTCTTTCTCTAATCAGAGACTATCTTCTTCATTATATTTCGTCCCTACGAGAAAACCTGTAAAATCCCCGAATCTGACGAATCCATGGTTAGGCATTGATTCTTCCGCCTCCGTCCTACGAACTAATCTGATCTCGCGTCGAAGGATCCCAATCGCCGTCGTTTCCAGCTTACCCACCGCGTAAATTTCTCGAATTTTGATCCAATTGTAGCTAAATTCGATCCTTATGTGCTTGATTTTGTTACAGGAATCCGGAATCTGTGGTTTCTGATGCGAAGAAGCCCGAGTAAGTGTTTTTTCGTAGAATTTGGGATTGAATTTGTTTGCTATGGTGGATTTGATTTAGGGTTTTTAGAAAGTTGAGGGATTTCTTGTAAAATCAATGTAGATGGTCATGGAGAGCTATTAAAGCATTTGCAATGGGAGAGCTTGAAGCTAGGAAGCTCAAGTATCCAAATACTGGAACTGAAGCTCTTCTCATGGGTATTTTGATTGAAGGTACTTTTTGTTCTATTGCAAATCAAACTAAATTTAGTTTGTGTTTTTCATCGAGACGATACAAAGATCTGTTAGTATCTTGGTAGTGGTATTGGTTTATTGCTAACAATACAAACGCTCTGTTTCTTGATATTGCTGANGATCTTGGACAATTCTTTTTAGTCATATTTAGTTTATTGTAAATCATACTAAAATGTTGTTCGTGTTTTTCGTCGAGACGATACAAAGATCCGTTAGTATCTTGGTAGTGGTATTGGTTTATTGCTAACAATACAAAAGCTCTGTTTCTTGATATTGCTGATGATCTTGGTTCTTGGACAATTCTTGTTAATCATATTGGAATAAGTTTAGTGTTTGATCTCATTGGGCAGGAACTAGTTTTACTTCGAAGTTTTTGCGAGCAAATAAGATAATGCTATACAAAGTTCGTGAAGAAACGATCAAGTTACTAGGAAAGGCGGATATGTATTTCTTCAGCCCGGAACATCCTCCTTTAACCGAAGATGCTCAAAGAGCACTTGACTCTGCTGTAAATCAAAAGCTAAAAGCAGGTTTGTCTCTCAAGTTCTGTAACTCAACTTGTCTCTATAACTTTGTGAATCTCATCTTCTGGAAGATGATTCTTATGGTGATAAACGTCAACACCATTCGAAAGTCGTAGCTTACTTAAACAGATATCTTTAGTTATAAACTGCTTCAATTCATGCATTTGTATGATTCAGTTTGAAGACAGAACCTTAAGCAACATTGTTTCACTGCTTTGTTGTTGCAGATGGTATTGGGGAAATAATGCCAGCTCATATACTGCTAGGGATTTGGTCTGAAGTTGATTCTCCAGGTCACAAGATACTGGAAACTCTTGGTTTCAGTGATGAAAAGTCTAAAGAGCTAGAGTCATTTGCCTCTGAACCTGGATTTAGAGATGAA